CTCTCCACATCCAGGACTGGAAGCCCTCTGCAAAGGAAGAAGGGTTTGCCTGAGGACCCAGGAATGTGCCAGCAGGTGACTGGATGGAGCTTGGCTCCTGAGGCCAGAGGCAGAGCTGCCCTTGCCTGCAACTGCAGCCCCTCAGCCCCAAGTATGTGGGATGCTGGAGGGGTAACTCATGTCTGAAGGAGCCTCCTGGGGATGCCAGGAGCCACATCCACTGCTACCTCGCATCCCGAGGGAGCCAGTGTGGGCTGGTGGCCCCAGCAGAGCAGGAGGAGGGGAGCAGGCTGCTGCTGCCTCATGGGAGATGCTGCTCTGAGAGTTTTGGCTTCGCTTGCAGCTTTCACTGCCTCTGCCACTGATAAATCCCAGTCAAACTAACCCCGAAACAAAAGCAACTGTCACCATGGCCTTGGATAGAAACCAGAGCTCCCAGTGAGCGCCAGGCTGGTGCTGGGATGGAGGCTGTGGCAGCAGCAGGTCCACTTCGACTGGGAAGATCCCGGCTTACCCACGGTCAGGTCCATGTTGTGCCTCTCGCCCAGCGCTCGCAGCCGGTACAAGCACCCGCTCTGGTAGTAGTACTGCAGGAACTGCACGAAGCCTGTGAGGAGCACATCAGGGGCAGCCTGTCACACCACCCTGACCACCCCAGCACCAGGGTGGAGGCCAAGGGAAAGCCCAGGTGAGCCAAAGGGCTGGGAGCAGCCCCAGCCGGGTCCCCCTGTGCCATGGAGCCAGGCACGTGTGCCCAGCCCTCTGTCACAGCCAGCACTTACTCTGGTACATGGAGAAGGAGAGAAACTGGTTCCTGAACATCTGGTACATGAGCCCATCTGGCCTGTGGGGTGACAGATGTGGGGTGAGAGGAGGCACAGCTAGCCCTGCCTGCCCCACAGCCAGGGAAAAGGGCACTGAAGTGGGGGGACACCACAGCTTGGGCACTGTGTAACATCACCTCGTGTTTCCCAGCCCACCCTGCCTGGTGAGGAAAACATCGAGTTGCTGTTAGACCACAGCACCCACAGAGCAGGATTACGGCCATGGCTTGGGGCAGCGAAGGCACCTGAGCTGCCCATAGCCCAAGCAAGGACCCCATGAGATGGGGGAAACAGACTTACCATGTCAGCATGACCCCTGAGAGGAAGGTAGAGATGTAGTGATGGAAAACCCACCAGCCTTTGATTCTGGAAGGCAGACAGAGAGAAGGGGTGTCAGGTCTTAAGCACAAACCAGGACCCAAACACGCACCAGGAGAGCAGGGCCCTTCCCACTGCACCTTCCCACACCACCTCTGTGTGGGGAGTTCCTCCTGCCCCGCTCCTACAGCTCATCCCCAGGCTTTGCTACACACCCTGAGTAGGAGGGAGCTGCTCCCTTGGGAAGCACGGAGCTACATGATGGGTCTCAGCTCCCCAGCATTGCAGAGAAGGAGCAACTCACTGCACACCCCTCCCCAAGCCCAGCAGACTCACTTGGATCCGTTGTTGATCAAGATGCTCTCCCGGATGGTGAGGGTGCAATAGTACCACACCAGGAGGAAGTTAAAGACGGCGTCTGTCACCCTGGTGTCACACAGAGCAGGGTGTAAAGGCAGCAGCAGAGGCACTGGGACAGCAGGATGCCCACCAGGCACTGAGACCTGCTTCCCCACCACCACCGTGGCCACAGCAAGACCACGAAAGCCACCCCACCTCCAGGGCAGCAGCCAGATCCTTTGCCCAGGGTCTCCTCTGGACCTTTCAGGATGGGACAGGAGGACACAAGGGCCCTGGGAGGAGATCCCTCCCCAGCATCCAAGCCAGACTCACCTGGTGTTGACAAGGAACCGACAGGAGGAGGAGATAATGAGTAAGATGATGGTGAGGTAGAGCTTGAACTTCTCGTACTCATCTTTATATGCAAACCTGCAGGGAAACACAAGGACAGGCTTGGAGCAACGTGGCTGCTGGAAATCCCTGTCCTCCCATCCCACCCAGCTGAGTAAAAGTGATGTTCCATTGGGGATCACTAGGACATGGTCAGGAAAAGCCTCATCTCCAGGGTACTCCCGAGGGGAGCACACCAGGCTGCTTTCACAAGGTGAGACACCATCAAGGCACCCCAAAGGACTCTGGGCAGATGGGGGTCTCTCCAAGGGGAGGCCTGGGGAATGGAGGGAAGGAACATGAGCTCCTGGCTGGGCACCTCTGGCTTTGGTGTCCCACCATGGGGGTACTCTCATGAGCCAAAACCAGCCCTTGGTGTTTCCCCAAAGGAAGAGGAGGGGGTTTGCCAGTGGCTGCAAGAGTCTGTGTCCCCTGAAGTCCCTAACACAGGGGAAACAGGGCACGGCATCGGTGGAGGATCCTATTTAGCTTCTCAGAGCTGCAGGCCCAGCCCGGCCCAGCCCAGCCCAGCAGCAAGGCTGTAAGAAGGAGTTAAGGGCTCAGCTGGTTCTGGATGCAGGGAACACCCCGGGAAGGGAACCCGCAGCGAACAGGCCACGTGTCTGCACATGCAGCAGCTCATCCCACAGGAGCTGTTGCTATTCCCTGGTGACAGGGGGGTCCCCAGCCAGGCAAAGCACCCGGTGGCAGGAATCGTACTTGGCCTGCTTGCTGAGCAGCGTCACGTTCACATTCCCCAGCACCAGACTCAGGTACAACCTGGGGAGAGAGCAGAGGCGTTAGGACAGGCAGGACCATCCCAAGGGATCCAGGGGCTCCCACCCGGAGCTGCCAGGCAGCGTGACTGGCACGAAGACACTGGCATCGCCTCCCAAGGGCATGGGGACGGGTGGCTGAGCACACCCTGCTCCTGGTTTGGGCTGGGATAGAGGTTATTTTCCCCCTAGTAACGGGAGCGGTGCTGTGGTTTGGCTTCAGTGTAACGCTGGTAACACAGCGATGGTTTAGGATAAGCACTACGTAGCAACAACCAAGTCAAGGACTTCCCACTTTCCTGTGCTCTGCCAGTGAGGAGCTGCTCAAGAGGCTGGGAGGGAGCAGAGCCAGGACTGCTGACCTCAACTGGCCAAAGGGGTGTTCCATGGCACAGAACTTCAGGCCCAGTATAGAAACTGGGGGGAGCCACTGGTCAGGGATCAGTCAGTGAGTGGTGAGCAGTTGTACTGTGCATCATCTGCCCGTCTCAGCTTTTATTCCTCCCTCTTTTCCCTATTATTAACATTATATTCTACTTTATTTCAATCATTGAACTGTTCTTATCTCACCCCCCAGGTTTTATCTTCTTCCTATTCACCCCATCCCGCCAGGGGGGATTGAGTGAACAAGTGGCTGCCTGGTACCTGGCTGCTGTTGTGGTTAAACCCCAATAACACCCCATGTCCCGCAGGCACTGGCGTGTTACCAGGGCTTCCCCTGGCCCATGGCCACCGCTCAAGGGCAGGTGAAGGCCACCAGCAGGCAGAGGCTCAGCCTGGCTCCTGCCCAGGTGTCCTCCAGCGTGGCTGTGACGCTGTCACCGGGAGCTGGGTGACAGCCACAGGGCTGCGGAGGGAGGATGTGGTCTTTCACCCAGAGATAAGGTGCCTCTTACCCGTTCTTCTTTGGCAGGTAGGCCTCCATCTCAAAGAACACGTTCTGCCTCTCTTTTATCAGGCTCTGGGTCTCTTGGATGGTTTCCTGCTGTTCGGGGCTCGCGTGGGCTTTGCATCTGGGAGGAAACAAGGTGCTGGTGTCAGGGTAGGGTCTGAAACACAATCAGCCCGTGCTGGAACTCAATACGTGACTGTCTGAGGCAAGGACACCCCAAGGACAGGGAAGATGGAGCGGAGGCAAGTCCATGAGTCCATCTGCAGGGCAAGCTCCTCTGTCAGGCTGGGATGTTGCTCGAGGAAAGGATGAGAGGGAGGTGAGGCCAGATGGGTCTTCTTCCCCTCAGGGAAGGATGGAGAGAGCTCTGTACGGGTCAGGTAACCTGCAAAGCCCTTGCAAGCTCTGAGCTGCCAACAAGGCACAAATGGGGGCAGAGGAACAGGAGCTGAGGAAGATCCGCCTGGGCGAGCTCAGACCTCCACAGCTCTTTGCTGCCAGTGAGGCTGCAGGAAGGTCTGTGCTGGAGACAGATCTGTGGGGAGAGCGTGACAACAACTTACTTTTTGAAGGACAACGACAGCTCCTTCAGCCGCTTCTTCTGCCGTGCGATGGAGCTGGAGATCCCGTCCTGCAGCTTGGTTAACTCCTCGAGTTTCTGCTTGTACAGCTTGTGGTTGTCCTGGGAAGCAGAGATCATCATGCAACACAGCTGCCTGCGCAGCCACCCTGTCCTTGGGCTCTCTGGGAGCCTATCTGCTGGTGTTGCTGCTAAAAGCTGTCTTTAACTTCACCTGCAGAGCAACCGGGTATCGATGCTCTGGTACCCACAGGCGTCTGCAGAAGACCAGGCGTGCTTGGGGACAGCCTGCAGCCATCCCTGCTTCCCTGAGGGCAGAATCAGCCCCTGGGGCTGCCCATCCCCAATCCCGAGGGATTTATCTACAGGTGCAGGCGCATCCATTTGGCACAGCCTGCTCCTGCCTTGCACATGGCTTGGGTCTGGCCCCCCTTGTGAAAGTCTTGCCAGCGACATGGTCTCGCTCCAGGGATGCTCCCATCAGTGGGAATCCACTGATTGTGGCACAGGGGAATGGAAAGACTCAGGGGGAAAACACGCTGCTGGTGCCAGGGATATAACCGAGAGCCACAGCCACGCAGGAGCGGTGGCTCTGGCTGCAGGGATGGGATGAGCGGCATTCCCTGCCTGGAAGTTTGTGCAGCACCGGCTCGCGGCTCCATCCCAAGCACCCCGAAGGAGCTGGGACAAGGAGGCTGGAATGGCAGCAGGGCTGCAGCCAACTCCTGGGGCAGTGGTAACCCGACAGCACCTGGGTAAGGCCAGATGCCATTCCTCACTATATTTAGAAGGGAAAGGCGAGAGCGTGCTGGATCAATGCTGCTGCTCATCCAGGTCAGCTGGAGAACAGCCTCTCCTCCACCCGGGAATTCCGCGCTGCTTCCAACAACCCTTGGACTAGACCTTGCCGCACACAGATGTTCCAGCTGCCACCGCTCTTATCGAGCACTTTAACAGCAGATCTCAAAGGAGAAAGGTGAAACCGAGATGCAGAGGAGGCAAACACCCCCTTCTCCTTCTGGTGATGATGAGCCGGAGGGTGGGAATGGAGCCCAGAGAGCCCCAGCAGTGATTTATGTGCCCAGTCTCTCATCAGGTTCTCCTGCTCCCCACTCGGAATCCCTCCTTCTCCCGCTCTGGAGCTAACCGAGAGCGGGTCCCTGCTGTGCTGACACCCTTCAGCCGTGCCAGCACCCCAGCAGCGCGCTCGGGCTCCGTCCCAGGGGAAGGTGGGGACCCGGGACATCCCCGCAACCCTTATGGAGCAAGAGGCGGTTTCTCAAAGCCTCCTTCGCCC